CTGAGAGACAGAGAAATAGAGCAGTGAGACACATCAGAGAAATGAGGGAGACACGAGGAGAGCAGTAATGATTCTGAGTGGAAACCACTGTGGGAAAGTGCTATTATTATCTCATTCTGCACTTCTGATGACCCTTGACAACAAATGTTCACAAAGCTAAAATGAGATCAATACTGGCCCCATTTACTTTCTTAAAGGAATCCAAAATAAAGATTCAACATTTCCTCTGATGAATGTCATTACACACCTGTATGACTGACTTTGCTCCTTGGAGCACAAAATGAGAAATTTTGAAGAATGTGCTGGTCGCTCTTTTCCATGCAATTACAAGTTTAATTTCAAGTTTAAGCTTCCAAAAGGAGACAAAAGCACTATAATATTACCATAAAAGTACACATTTGTCTGCTATTTTCCGAAGCTACCACGTAATAGCTTTGACTTATACATGTCGGTTTTAAAAATGCTTGTTTTGTATATTTTAGATGCGCGTTATGGTTATGAGTTGTCAAAATTACAGGCAGCAATTTGTCATCCCGTAACACCTAAAAATATTGTCAACGTATTTTTAAGATGCATTTCTGGCAATCTGACATCTATCTATCTTTTCTCTTCTTTTTTTTTAATCTTAAATTCTGTACATTTGTTTATTTATTTAGAGTTGGGATCCATTTAATGAATCAGTTGATTCAATTCACAAAAGCGATCTGAATGACTGATTCATGAATCTGATCCAGATTCAATGAACCAGTTGTAAAAACCAAAAGCTGGAGGGAGGGAAATATTTCAGTAAATAACTATTTTAAATTTCGGTCACATAGTGTAAGAGTCATATAGGCCAACATTATGATACGTTTTTGATGCATTTGTGTCCTTTCTTAGCTAGAATGCATCAGTCTTCATTTATTGTGATTTTATGAAAAGGAGCAACCAGCACAGTCTTCAAAATATCTTCTTTGTGTGTTCCACAGCAGAAAGTCACTCAAGTTTGAACAACAAAAAGAGGATGAGTACATGCAGACGAATGTATTTCTTTGAGGTGAACTATCCCTTTAAGTAAGAAAACTTCTAATTTCATTTTAGGTCAACATCACAAATCTATTTTCAGCCCCTTTCTTCCAACCACCTTCCTCCATTATAGTATACAACAACCACTTTTCGCCATCTAATCAATTTCAGATGAATCCAATCCTGCTGTTTCACTCAGAAATACATCACACCACGACATTTCTCGAGGTAAAGAAACACTCATTGTGTCTGCGTCTCAAATCTGTGTCGGTCTCCTGATGTGAGTTTGATTAGTCTGTCTGTCTCGTCGCAATATCCACTTGCGAGTCAGTGTGATTTGAGCGTGATTCAGTTGTACAGTGACAAAGATGGATGCAGAACAAATCGCTCCAAACAACAGTAATCAACAAAATGCCAACCATGAGCTCAAATACATTTTTAGGGCATTAGATGAGCGAATGCCATTTTTTCTTTGTGCAAAAAAATAAATGCTATCAGAAATATACGAGGAAAAGAAATACATGGTTAGCTACACTCTTACACACAGTAGTTTGACGTCACAGCAAGCACTTCAACAGTATTGTCATGAAAATAAAAGGAAAGCAGTTCTCACTGAAATCACTGAAGACCTCAGCAACTCTATTTCTCATGTCACTCTCGATGACGTCAAACATCAGCCAAGATTAAACACTTGCATAACATGTCATTCTCCAGTCATCAGCTGCGTTTTTTACAAACACGCTTGTAAGGAAATATCTGAATATGTCTTTGACACAAAACAATATATGATGGATGACTACAAATGAAGGATTATGCAAAAAATAAAAGAAACTGTCAGTGACTAAGTGGAAAAACAGAAATAAGCAAAATAAGCATTATAAATCTAGTGAACTGTAAAGTATTTTATAATATTAATTTTAATATTCTTATTATTTTAAATAACATCAGTCCAATAACAATACTATACATGTTTTTTTTTGTCTTTCAAATGTTTGTATTTTGGCCGGAAACCACAGGACAACTTCTCTTTTTAAATGCTTCTCTTTTGTTGACAGATTTATATAACCATTGTCATTACAAACCGAGGAAGATGTTTGGCGCGTGTTGCTTTTCAAATGCGCGCTATATGCAACTCAAACGCACAGCACTTGCAGAGATGGAGCTCATTGTGGAGCATTATTAATACTAATAATGATAAACAAATAGTGGTTCAACGGATCACAAATCTAACGGTTCGGATCATATTATGGTTTTTGAGCCACGGATCGGATTGTTTTTCGGATCAGCAAGAAGAAAAAAAAAATCGGTGTAACTTTGCTTTCCATAAGTACTATACCACAGCAAAAACTCTTAGCCCAAGAAAGTTCAAACATTATTAAAGAGACAAGCGAACAGCCAGTAAAAATAAGAACAAATAGGCTAGACAAATTACAAGCATAGATAAATACAACAGAACAATGTTACAAATAAGGTCGGTAGTATTCAGATACAGAAATTTAATAATTAAGTGTAAAATAAAACTGCATAGTGTTCACTGTATGAATTAAAAAATAGATTAATCTTTGTCAAAAACGTGTTTTGTGGTTTGATGAGCATAATGACAGCAGCAGGTATTATTAGGCTGCTGCCACTTTAAGACCTGATGCATGGATCTAATATAGACTAATACACATCCAATTTTCTTTTTCCAATTTCACCCGTTTTGTGTGTATATGCGTCTGTTCAAAGGCAAGGAGTGAATGAGATGGGAAAGATGGTTCAGTTCGGTGTTCGCGTGCAGTCAACCGTGCCTCACTGCATGTACAAGCGTCATGTGATAGAAAACAGCACGCGAGTAACGAATCGAGTTCCATTTCGCCTTTTTTTTCGCTAGAATGGTTTAAAACCGCTTGCGTGTGTAAACACGTACAATTGATAAACTTTCATTCTATTATGGTTACATTTTGCAATTAATCCGCGAATCACATGCGTGCCGAACCGTGGGGCTTGGTCCGTACGAATCACGGATCAACTACGATCCGTTTAACCACTATAAACAAACAAAAGCACACAAATGAATAACCAAAACTATACAAATGTGTGAGTAGTTTTGACCCTGTAAAGCCTTAAATTGTGAGGACTCTGCACTCAGACGCTGAAGTGACAACGGTCAGCACACTCACGAACGGCCTTCAGGAAGGGCCCTTCATGAAAGAATTCAGCTGCTCACTTTAGCTTCAACTGACCCTGCAAACGTCCTCACAGGGCCTTTCACAGCTGCAAAAATGCCATTTGTTGCCAAGCAACATCACAATAAAAGATGATTCAATGAATTTGTACGACTTCACATTTTAGAGCCGGGACAGTCCATTTTAGTACAAGTTGACAACTTGTACTTTAGTGTATTTAGTGCATTAGGCTGCTGAATCGTAGTAGAGCGTACAGTCGTGATTAGAGCGGACAGCAGATAGAGATCACACTGTGATGTATGAATCTCACAGAACAAACAGACTCTGCAAAGAACTGAAGATGTCGGAGGAGAGAGGAGAACAGGAAGACGCGCTCTTTCTCAGCTGACGTGATCTATACCTTGATTACACGTATGCTGTGGTCTGGCTGATGGGGGAACTAATGAGGACTGACACAGGGATAACTGAATATCATGAGGGCCTTTCGCACTGCAAGAACCTTTTCATAGTACCAGAACTAATTGTGGAACTACCCACTTTTTGGCGTTTTCGCACCGCAGGAACTGGGTGCGATTTTAGTACCGGACTGCCTTTTTCGAGAACCAGATTAGCTCCTACTCCGGAGCAGGGTCTAACCAGCACAACTGGTACTACCCGTGACGCAAGTAGACATTGATTGGCCAACCGCTTATGAAACCTCCCTTCCCCGCCATGATTTAAAACGCCGTGTAAACATACTGTAAACATTGTGTCAACTTATTTCGCAAGTATGGAGAACAGCGATGGATGGACGGACGCTGAAGTGCAGGCACTTGTAGCAAATGTAGCACTGCCAGTTGTCGTTGGAGATTCTTAGTCCTCCTTTCCATTCTTTCAATCGCTTTACGTATACGTCGACTTTCCATGTCCACTGTGAAACCCGCGAGACACAACAAACACACAGCTCCGATCACAGCGTCCTCCATCCTCCTGTTGTTAACGTTGTTCTTCTTTGTTTCCGTTGTTGAATACTGTGCACAAATGACGTCTCTGTCGACCGGCTTACGTCACTTCTTAGTACACACTGTTGGTGCGAATGCAACCCTTTAAATGGTACTGGGAAATAGTTCGAGCAAAATCGTCCCAGTACTTTAGTACCGTACGTTTAGTTCTGGAACTAAAGCGGTGCGAAAGGCCCTATTCACACACACATTAGTTCCCGTATGTCCCTTATTTGTCTAAACCTCAGACAATACACCCATGGACCGCCCGCAGTCCACACCCCGATTATCTAACGCATTTTGCACAAACAGAACAAACCTGGCAAGTGCTAGCTGAAAACCACAAGCTCAGATCTGATTGGTTGGCTTTACACAATGTCTGGATTGCAAAGTTGGCTCTAGACCCAAATAAAGCAATAAGCCATTTACAGTGAATTTATAACAGCTAAGGGGCGTTGTTAGGTATGACGCGAAGCGGAAACCCCCTTAGCTGTTATAAAATCACTGTAAACCACGGCTTCATGGGGCTTATTGCTTTTATAAAACGGTTATTCCATATACGTAGTAAGGTTTCACAAAATAAAACGGAGCAAATAAAGTGTAATGATATTAATAAAAGCAGTACTCTTCCACCAAACAATGTAGCTCCTCAGAATCAGTTGTGTTACAACAAAGTGGCTGCAGAGCGACACACAGAAGTAAACAAAGGTGTGTGTTTGTAGAGTAATTTACAACAGCTTCGAACGCGGCTCAACCAATCAGAATCAAGGACCGGAACTCTCCGTTTTATAATGGATATGATGGAACATAAGGTGTACCTGTAAAAATGTGAGTCTAAAGCTCTTACCCCAAGCTGCCCTTTGAGCTCTTTGATGTGGGCGGAGTCCTGTGAGAGCGCCTCCCTCTGGGCGGCGTCAGATAACACGTTGACTGTAGTCTCCGCCTCATGGAGCCACTTCAGGAAGGATTCGAGCTCACGGAGACACGCCTGGAGAGACTTCAGCTCTGAATCCAACACAGCCTGACGGTCCGACGCCCTAATGACCAGGACAACACACGGCGGTAAAATCTAAACAACTGCTACCAGATTACAAATACTTATTAACACATGAATATTTAATTAGTATCACTGCATTAATAGTTATAGTGGTAATATTTGTGCAATCATAATGCAATATTCCCAAAACATCATTTTTATAGCATTTACTATATCACTATATTATTATGGAAACATGTATTAACATTTTTTCCCACTATTTATAAAAGCATAATCAAGGTAGTATTTATTAGAATAAGGTTTATGAAAGCATATTTAAAGTAGTATTTAATTTCACAACATTATTACGGGAGTATTTATAGAGCATATATTTCTACAATATTTGTAAAAACAATCAAAATATTATTTAATAAAGTAATATTATTACAGTAGTATTTGTTAGCATTTATTGTAATAATTTTTATGAAAGCATATTTATTAGAGGTCATATTTAGTAGTGTTTAATATCATTATTATATATTATCTAGTGCGGTCAAACCAAAAAACAAACAAACAGTGTTTACATAATGTGTGTGTGTACTGTGTATTTTTATTATGTACATATAAACACAAACACACGCATGTATACATTTAAGAAAAATATGTTATGTTTATATATTAAATATATTTATATATAATATAAATTATATGACTATAAATATATACATGTAAATATTTTCAAAACATACTGTATGTGTGTGTTTTTATATATATACACATAATAAATATACACAGTACACACACATATTATATAAACAAAAACTTATATTTTGAATGCGATTAATCGCGATTAATCATTTGACAGCACTAGGACTATCATATATTATTATGAGAGTATTTATTAGCGTTCATTGCCACAATATTTGTAAAAGCATTTTTGTTGTAGTATTTATTACAACATTATTATGATTAAGTACTTGTTAATATTTTATTGTATTAAGTATTTAATATTTATTGGCACAATATTCGTGAAAGCATAATTACAATAAGATGTGTTACTATATTACAGTAGTATTTTGTGAGAGCATAATTATGGTAACATTTATTACTTCAGTAACAATAACAACATTATAAGCCGCTTTTCTACTATCGGGCCGAACGGTTCTAAGAACTGTCAGGTACAGTTCCAGTTGTATTTCCACGTGAGCTTGGTACGGCGCGGCACGACTACAAACCGTTCTCGGCACGGATAGACAACAGTGCTGAGCCGTGCTGGTAGAGTGCGTGTGCGTGATATTATTTAATAAAGTAATATTATTACAGTAGTATTTGTTAGCATTTATTGTAATAATTTTTATGAAAGCATATTTATTAGAGGTCATATTTAGTAGTGTTTAATATCATTATTATGTATTATCTAGTGCGGTCAAACCAAAAAACAAACAAACAGTGTTTACATAATGTGTGTGTGTACTGTGTATTTTTATTATGTACATATAAACACAAACACACGCATGTATACATTTAAGAAAAATATGTTATGTTTATATATTAAATATATTTATATATAATATAAATTATATGACTATAAATATATACATGTAAATATTTTCAAAACATACTGTATGTGTGTGTTTTTATATATATACACATAATAAATATACACAGTACACACACATATTATATAAACAAAAACTTATATTTTGAATGCGATTAATCGCGATTAATCATTTGACAGCACTAGGACTATCATATATTATTATGAGAGTATTTATTAGCGTTCATTGCCACAATATTTGTAAAAGCATTTTTGTTGTAGTATTTATTACAACATTATTATGATTAAGTACTTGTTAATATTTTATTGTATTAAGTATTTAATATTTATTGGCACAATATTCGTGAAAGCATAATTACAATAAGATGTGTTACTATATTACAGTAGTATTTTGTGAGAGCATAATTATGGTAACATTTATTACTTCAGTAACAATAACAACATTATAAGCCGCTTTTCTACTATCGGGCCGAACGGTTCTAAGAACTGTCAGGTACAGTTCCAGTTGTATTTCCACGTGAGCTTGGTACGGCGCGGCACGACTACAAACCGTTCTCGGCACGGATAGACAACAGTGCTGAGCCGTGCTGGTAGAGTGCGTGTGCGTGTGCGTGTGCGTGACGTCGCCACTCAGGATCTGTCACTTGTCTGTTGCCTGGCTGCTAGTTTCTCCGTAGATTGCCAAGCGCGCTATTTTGAGCAATGTAAACACAAATTAGTAGTAAAATCGAAATAAATTTCTGATCATCCTCCATAACCCGGTGGTTATTTACATATCATATATCATATGTCAAAACTTGTGTTACCATGGCAACAGCTGACGCATTTGAATTGCATTCCAAAGAGATCCGTTATCAGCCCCGCAGTGGAAAACTAAACCATAACTATACCGGCCGGCTCGGAATGGAACGGTTATGCAAAGATAACCGTTGAGCGCGATGGTGGAAAAGCGGCTATAGTGACAGTACTTATTAGTATTTATTGACATATTTCATATTCATGAAAGCATAATTACGATACAATTTAGTGCTGGGCGGTTCAAATGGTAAACCGGTTTGAATTACACAAACGGTATGAATTTTTAAAGTGCCCAAGCAAACGTACACAGCATCGTGAATTGAGAGGAGATCCCTGTTAACTGCACACACTTCTGGCTGATGGTTGGAAAACTTTTAGAACTATTAATAACACACAACTAATTATTTAACTGGGCAAAAAGCCCAGAACACAACAATTTATGAAATTTAAAGATGCATGAGATTGAGAGATTGGCAAAAGGCCTGTTTTTTGTTTTATTTCAGGCGATCTCTGTTCTGGACTTGCACAAACTGCATTGCAGTCATTTTCCAAAATGTCATTTGTGTGGAAAGATTATGAAGCCTATAAATGGGACGTTAAAAACCAATAGAAACCATTAGAGGTTTTACTGGTTATAATTGGAATTGTATTGGTTTTAATGGAAACTGTAATGGTCCCTGTGGGTCTCTACCTGTAATTTGTCACCTTTTATTGGGGGCTTGTTAAAACCACTAAATCCTAATGGAAAATGTCCCAAAACACACTACAAGTTACAATTATTTAAGGGATTTAATGGTTAATAGTTGATGGTTTTTAATGTTTGTAATGGTATTTGTAGTGGAAACCATTAGAATTTCTGTGATGGTTTCTATTGTTTTTTTTTGTTTTCGTTTTTTCAGCAGGGAGAGGCTAGAGACGCTGAAGATGGACGCACACTGTACAGGCAGAGCAAACTCACTGTTCACAATGCGAATCCTATATATTGAATTGGGGGTGTGGGTTTATACAAATGTATCGCTGAGGGGAACTGACTGTCTTCAGAAAAGTTTAGGTGCGACCCTATACACTTTCTACAAAAAATAGTCAGAAAACAGACATTCTTTAATATTTTATTATTTTTTCTTGTTATATTGTTTATAATGAATAGATTGAGGAATACTAAGAAAGTTGATGTCTAATTTTAAGAAATGAAGGAGGGAGAGGGTAGTGAATGACGTCCCGGGTTGCTAAAGACCCGAAGTATGCTTTAAAGGTTTGCTTTGTCATGTTGGTGGTGACACCTCTCTTAGCGTATCACAAATATTACACTTAGCTTTTTCGGCTTCTGGTTCCACAAATGTAGCCAAACTTTGGAGCACTTAGATTAGCGAGAAAGGTCCTGGCAGATCGCCAGGTCTGGTTCTCACAGGTGGAGGAAAAAAAAGATGCGCACACAGGTATTTATAGGAGGAATCGACATTTTAATTTTACAAGTATTCGATTCCAGAATTGGAATCGATTTTCGATTCCCAACCCTACCCAGCACTAATGGAAGGAACTGCATTTTCTACACACTACGAGAGAATCCTAAAGGAGAATGTCTGGTCTTCAGTCTGTAAATTGAAGTTCTATTGGATTGGACTATGCAGCAAGTCAATGATCCAAAGCATAGGAGTAAGTCCACATCTAAATGGCTCAAAAAAGCATAGTCAAAGTCCTGACTTGAACCCAATTGAGATGCTGTGCCAGGACCTGAAACAAGCAGTTCATGCTGGAAAACCCTCCAATGTGGCTGAACTAAAGCAGTTCTGCAAAGACGAGTGAGATGAAATCCCACCACAGCGCTGTGAAAGACTGATCTCCAGTTATCACAAATGTTTAGTTGCTGTTATTGCTTTTTTTTTTACATGGGTGATAGATATTGGATAAAAAAAAAAAAAGTGCTTAAAACTGTACTCTATTTACTCAAGTTGCCTTTATGTTGTATTTCTTTTAAGATCTAAAACTATTTAATTTGAGATGTACACAATAATATAATAAAAAGTGTTATTTTGTGTAAGGCCTTTAAAAGTGTTTTTACTTTCTCAAGGTGCTTTACACAAAAGCATTACACAGCAATATAAAACAATACAAATATAACAACAGATAGATAAAAAACAACACAATGGAAAAGCTAATGAAGTAAAAGCAATTGTGAAATAAAATGTTTTAAGACAAGACTTAAAAATACCCAATGAATTTGCTTCCCTAATGTCAGCTGGGAGAGAATTCCACAGTTTTGGAGCATAAGATGAGAAGGCCCTGGAATGAAACCATGTTTTGTGAAACAGCTAAGAGACCACACTGAGAGGATCACAAAATGCGAGTGTAAGGTGTTAAAAGATTGGCCAGATACTGCGGAGCAAAATCATGAAAAGCCTTATACTTTAACATTAGGATTTTAAAATATATATGGCAGCTAACGGGAAGCCAAAGCAACGGCTCCAAAATAGGGGTTATACAGTCACCAACCCTGGCCCCAGTTAGAATTCTAGCTGCTGAATTTTGCAGATATCGCAATTTGTTAAGAGAAGATTTAGACACTCCAACAGGGAGAGCATTACAGTAATCCATTTGAAAGAAAGCAAAAGGGATAATCAATTTTTCTGCAACAGAAAAGGACAGCATAGGCCGTAAACATGCAATATTTCTAAGAAGAAAAAAGAAGAATCGTGTTCTGCACAAAAGACTCAGAATGTCAGAGAGAAATACTGAGTGCATGAATGTGATGATATCTGTGTTTATGATTACTCATTGTTCTTTACATATGAAACAATAAGCATTTGTCCTACCTTATATGATGAAACCGCTTCACTTATTGGTCTGAATTTGTGATTGTCGTGTTGTTTTGAATCTCTGCACACTAAACACACCGGCTGTTTGTCCTCCAGACAGAAGAGTTTGAGTTTCTCACTGTGTAAACTGCAGATCTCCTCAGATCCCGATGAATGGCTCTCATTTCTCTCCTTCAGGAATGAATCACACAGGTTTTGTAATGCCAGATTTGTTGGAGGAAACTTTTTTGAGGATCTTCTCCTGCAGACGGGACACTCCTGAGTTTTCTTGGTTCTCCAGAACTGTTGAAGACACTCTTTACAGACACTGTGACTACATGATAAAAGAACAGGAGTCTTGAAGATTTCACAGCACACGGGACAATTATAGTCATATTCATCTGATGAAGCCATTTTCACTGTTTGAGCTCCAGCAACCTAAACTTTACTTTCACTTTCTGAACTGTATTTCCACGTGAGCTTGGTACGGCGCGGCACGACTACAAACCGTTCTCGGCACGGATAGACAACAGAGCTGAGCCGTGCTGGTAGAGTGCGTGTGCGTGACGTCGCCACTCAGGATCTGTCACTTGTCTGTTGCCTGGCTGCTAGTTTCTCCGTAGATTGCCAAGCGCGCTATTTTGAGCAATGTAAACACAAATTAGTAGTAAAATCGAAATAAATTTCTGATCATCCTCCATAACCCGGTGGTTATTTACATATCATATATCATATGTCAAAACTTGTGTTACCATGGCAACAGCTGACGCATTTGAATTGCATTCCAAAGAGATCCGTTATCAGCCCCGCAGTGGAAAACTAAACCATAACTATACCGGCCGGCTCGGAATGGAACGGTTATGCAAAGATAACCGTTGAGCGCGATGGTGGAAAAGCGGCTATAGTGACAGTACTTATTAGTATTTATTGGCATATTTCATATTCATGAAAGCATAATTACGATACAATTTAGTGCTGGGTGGCTCAAATGGTAAACCGGTTTGAATTACACAAACGGTATGAATTTTTAAAGTGCCCAAGCAAACGTACACAGCATCGTGAATTGAGGAGATCCCTGTTAACTGCACACACTTCTGGCTGATGGTTGGAAAACTTTTAGAACTATTAATAACACACAACTAATTCTTTAATTTGGGCAAATAAACCAACTAGAACAGAAGCCAGAGACGCTGAAGAAGGGCGCACAGAGGAGAAAATATTGTAGCAGGCAGATCAAGCTCACTGTTCATGACGCGCGAAATATAGGAAGAAAATTCTAAATACTGAACTGGGGCTGAGGGGTTTATATGAATGCGTCTCTGAGGGGAACGGACTGTCTTCAGAAAAGTGTAGATGGTATTTTCTTTTCATCTTGTGTCTGCATAATGCATATTAGGGGCTTTAAGCAACAGCTGTGAATGGAACGTAAAAATCACTACGCAACCACAAACAAGACGACGCAACGCAGCATGATTCAGTCATTTATTGAAGTATTATGACGGTTTATGAGGAGGATGTTTCGGCAATGCTTACATTGTTCGCTAGTCTCAGTGCTACCTGAGGTGTTGTTACTAACAGCAGACATATCTCAGTACGAACGGAAAAATCGTTAAAATTAGCTACATTTTAAAACATATCAACACATTAAATAAAAGACTAATTGTAGAATCACATATTGATGCAATTACAATATTATATATCATAAAACGTCATATTGACCCATAGTAGACGGTTAAAGTAGAACATCAAGAAGCAGCTGTTAAAGTCGCGCATGTGCAATACAACATCAGAATATCGTTACCGTACAATCAGTGGCTGTTGCTTAAAGTCCCTATTAATGTAGTATTTAATAGCGCAGCGCTGCTTTGTTTACAGCGTTAACTGAGGAAACGCTGTATCGCTGCTGTTCCATCAGCGCCACCTGCTGTCAGAGGGTGAATCTGCGTCTCATTCAGCCCATGTTTCGGTTTCGTTCAGATGTGTTTTATATAGTATAGTTTCACAAAGCTAAAGACAGACCGTTCTGTTTTTGCTTCAAAATGGGAAATTATACAGTCTAATTTAAAGCTGCAGTCCGTAACTTTTTTGTGTTCAAAATTTACAGAATTTATATAATAAGCGAGTAAACCATGAATCCATTTTCCAAACCGTGTTTTTGGCTTGTCCTGAATCACTACGGTACACCTATAATAAGTGTTTATATTCTGAGTATTTTATGGCGCTTTTCCACTGCGTGGTACGACTCGGCTCGGCACGTCTCGGCACGGTTTGCGTTTCCACTGCAGTTCAGTACCGCTTTAGAGTGGGCGGGATTATACACATACCGTTATAGTTGCACCGCCTCTACTGCCACGACTCCTAAAAAAAAGTTTTCATTCCGCGTCGCCCCATCAAGCTCTCGCTGGATCCGCTCCTCTGCTATCAACGAGAGGAACGTCTGTTCTTCCACAACAGACAACAAAACTTTTTGGTTGTTAAAAAAAGGTGCGCTCGTTCAAAACAGTTGCGTTTGATCCTTCGCTGGCTGTGCTGATTTAAATCTAGCGGTTCTTTTGTGTTTGTGTCGCAGTTCAGTGACGCAGGTAGTGACGATTTTCTCCGGCCAATCCGTGATCAGCAGAGTTTACACGTCACGTTTTGGTAACGGTACGGTTCACCTGGAACCTCAACCGAAGTGGTACAAAAAAAAGTACCAGGTACTGTACCCAGTGGAAAACCCCCAAAAAGTGAACCGTACCGAGCCGTACCATTCAGTGGAAAAGCGCCATTAGACTGGTTCGGGTAGGTACTGCTGCGGAGTAGCCCAGTACCTGTGTGATTCGCCATAGACATAAACATAGAGAAGTAGCTCCGGCAACAATGTTCTTCCGCAAGACGCACGCAGTTCTGTTTATTAACCGCAAGAGCACCAAAAAGTTACGGACTGCAGCTTTAAGTGAAAAACTGCTCATGCAGCATCTTTGAAAAGTGATTAAAATGCAGTGGTTCTGCAACTGTATCATGCATTCTGATTCATATAAAGCCCAGTCAGGGTAAAACCGTGATAAACCGCCACAATCCTAAAAAAAAACCTGATACAGATTTTTGGTCAAACCGCCCAGCAGTAATTACAGTAGTAACACTGATTACTTCAATATTATTATAATAATTATATTATTATTATTATTAGGGATGCACCGAATGTCCAGCAACCGAAGTTATTTGAATAAGCGAAAAGACCGAATAAATTGTACCGAACAATATGATATGATCAAATAGCAACCAGCGCAGAGTGAGAGGCATGCACTCTATTATGCAGCACACACGTCAGCAGTGTGGAAGCATTTAAACTGTCGGAGAAAGACACAAAAATCATTACAAGCACCGACAGCGAGAGACTGTTTAGGACTGCATCGCATGTCTTCAATGAGAAGAGGAAGGGGTGATTGTTGCTGGTTACTGTATGATGACTGAAATCACGAAATGGCCTTCAACAATTAGTAAATAAACTGCAGAACGTTATGTTTTCTAATACACGCACGCATTGCATGTAGTCTGACAGCGCTGCACGACCTCGCAGCAGATGTGCTTGTTAACCAGGGTTCAAAGTCCAAAGCGCGAGGAAAATCTGTGCTGATACAGTCGTCAGTTGCTCAGTCA